ACCTAAACCAGATTTATATCTTCTAGGGTCTCTAACACAGTATGCATCTTATTTAAACACATTCATATATTAGGAAAGTTTGCTGCAGCTGTTATAATCTTTGTTTAGATCAAATGGCCCAGTATGTTTTGTTCTTACAGGGGGGCGAGGGGAGGGGAGGGGAGCGGCAGGAGTCACTAGAAAGTAATTGTAAAAGGCTGTTTGCCATTACACAGAAAGCAATTTAAGCTCTGATTGAAAAGAAAGAAAACTTTTTAATGGAATGTCAAGCTTGTAAGTTTTGCTGAAAATCGCTCTCGGAAGAATACGAAGTGTCAGCCAGGATTTTGAATACCGCAGAATCGTGCCAATCCCGGCATCGAGTTCTGTAGCACTTTTAGAGTGGCTGAAGAAGCAACCTTGTCCCAGAGTGTAGTTGAGCCATGCTGGTAAGACTTCTGCAGTTTCAGTACAACATCTGTTTTGTAGATACATCCACACTTCAAGTTCTCTGACGGTATTTTCCTTCCAGATAGTAATGTCAGGAAGAGGTAGGAATGGACTGACATTTCTGATGCGCAGGATGGGAAACTAGTTGAAAAATGTGTGTGGACTTCATAAAGGCTTATTGTCAAGTAAGAGGATACTAACTGGTGCTCTGTAGGAATTGGTTCTCCCTGAAGTATTTGTCAACATTGACCTGAATCATAAGGTTTGTTTCATCTATTAAATTTATACATGAGAACCGGCCGGGAGAAACTGCAGATAGGCTGGATGATAAAAAGTAAAATTCAAAATTATCTGGACAACTTGAAGACTGGAAAAACACAATCCAATTTGCTAGGGACAAACAGGAGGTACTGTACTTCTGGAGGAAGCGGCCGGGGAATAGTTGGGTAAGTGCTAGTTCTGCTGAGACGATGTCAAACCTGATTGTACAGTCAATGAGAACCATCAGTAGCATGCTGAATTAATAAAAACAAGATCATGGACAGGAAGTCCTTCTTCAGCTATGTTAAGCATGTGCATAAGGCTTTAGTTTAACTACAGTGTTCAGTTTATTCTCCATTTTAAAGAAGACAACCTTATCTTTTGCAGGCTCTTCGTTACTTCCACATGGCAGAGGAAGGTAATACTTGTAGCTTTTTTGGACAGAATGGTATCTTTTATGAATCATGACTTGCAATAAACCTCTGGCTTCTGGCATCATCCTAATAGTGTATGATCTGCCAATAACTATACCAGCCGGTGGTGCCAGTCAGCACCCTAGCCTGTTACACTGGAATGTTTCAGCAGAGATACTTGAAGTATGTTACACGCTTACTATCATCACATAGAGTGTAACATGAGGGTTTTTTCAAGTATTAAAGTGAAATTTGTACCCTCATTAGTAACAAAGTACTCTTCCCCAAGGCATTCAACTGGACTGCAGGGGAAAGAAGCAAACAAGAAAGGGAATTTAATGTCACTTTTTCTGAATTTTCTTAAAGTTTGAAAGTCCTCTGCATTCTAAGTAGAACAACAGCGAAAGCACACTTTTTTATTATTTCAGAAGCTATTTGGATCAGAGTGCCCATCTAACTGGCAGTAAAACTGTCCACCTGTAAGAGAAAATGCAGACCTATTATTTCTCAAAGAGTGAAGCCATAAGCAGAACTGACTAGCCGAAAGATAAAGGAAGACAAGGGAAGATGGTGTTCTATGAAAGATTTATATTAACCGTTCTATGAGTGAAGTTTAAAGGAAAAGCTCATTGTGTATCTTCCCCTGGATGTCAAGTAATACAGCTGTGAATTGGAATGGTGGACCAGATCTCAAAATTTGCCTCCAAAACACCTCCATATGTTTTGCATCCTAACCTTGGGTCCAGCAGCAGAGGAAAGCTTGTGCTATAAATATGAACAGTAGGCGAGGCTAGTCTTAATAATGACTTATGGGCAAAGCATTCTTTATAAAAGCAATGTCTTAATCCTCTCCTTACAAAAAGTTAAGCGTGGGTAAAACAGTTTCAAGTTTTCCTCCCGTGTAGCAAAAGCTAAGCTAACACCTGTATGTGAATGGTCTGAAGCTAGGAAATGTGCCCTTTATTTCCTTGCCTATACTTGATGGTTGCACCGCCTGTTGCACCTACCAGGTCCAGAAGAGCAGAGAATCTGCAAAGCAAAGCTGTTGCGCATTAAGCTCACTGCTTTGCTCTTTGTGAGGAATCTAGTTTCATTTAGTATATTAACTAACAAGCTGCTAGCTAATGTAACCGTATGCGAGACCAAAAGCTAGCAAGTAAAAGCTTTACGTTGGCTTCCTTCTGGCCCAAAGCCAAAATACTGTTCATTTTATCAGAAATAAATATTGAAAGGAGCGACACTGTATCATGGCTTTGATATTATTCTGCTCATTCTCATGTAAACCTTTTCTCCTGTCTCTATACAGCTGACCCAAATTTCTACAGCAAAAATTTGCTCTTTTTGGGGAAGACATACTTGAAGTTAAACAATAAAAAGATGGCTCTTCTGTGGTTAAGCAAAGCAAAGGAGTATCCTGCACATACAGAAGAGGACAAACAGGTAGGAAGTGAGGAACTGTAACAGCTGTAACCAGTATGTGTGGCGTCATGGCAGTGGAATGTTTTATAAAGTTAACTCGAGTAAACTGTAGTTCAGCACCTATATTGCAGGATCACATCCAGCCACCAAAAAATTCTAGTATCCTGGTAACTGCCTCTGAACACAATGGTTGGAAATACTCTGTTTATCATAAAGAACTGTTACACGTTCTTCTTCATGATGTTTTTGCAGTGCTAACAACATCCCACCCTTAACTGTGTTGTTGAAGTTCAGGCAGGCACCTGAGCTAACCTAACCTACATGAGCACGGATTCACTTTTCATGTGCCTAAAACTGGAAAGGTAGAAATCATATTTTGGCAGAGCTAAAAACCACATGGAGGAAGAAAAAAGCATGAATGTATCAAAAAATTGCTAGATCCATGAAACTGAACATTGCTAGGGAGAGACAAACTTAGGAGAGAGAAGCTTAACATCCATAGGGAGAGGTTCAGACTATCTGAATGGAGACAAATGGAAGTAACGTATCTCTGGCAGCAAATCTCCAATGCTAGGTGACATGAGGCACTTAATTACTCTGTTGAACTGCTGATGAGGATCCTGGTTTGGATGGGTAGGCATCTGCTTCCTACCTAAAGAATACTTCCAGGAGGACTTGTTCAAACCTAATACTGCACGGAGTACAAACCACAGCAATTGCAGTTAGCTTTCATAAACAATCCTGTTAGCATCTGGACTAACAAAGCCTCATTTCCAATTGATTTTTCTTACGGTTGATTGACCTCTAATTCATTTAGCATTAAGCTGCAGTATGAGATCATGCTTTAACCGTTACAGAAAACATCCAAATGTGTTGTGACATTCTCAGTGTCCTAATTGTCAGAAATACTTTGGTAGGATTTTCCTCAAACCGTTTCTCCCAAAAGTGAGCATCTTCAGTAACATCTTTCAGTAGAAATTTGAGTACGGGTTCTGTTCCTCCACTGCTTTGCAAAATGTGTAGGAATTTGATAGCCTGAAGGAGTAGCGGTCTCGGGTATGTATGAAATTGGTCAGTCCTTCTGACAGTTAGTAGTAGCTGGAGGCACACGTGAAACCAGTGATCCCGAAAGCTTGCCTCTGTTGAAACCACGCAGAAGGAGTCAGCGGTGATTTGTGTGCAGTAGCCAAGCTGTTGTCTGCTGCAGGCATGCTTGGCCTCCTGGTACAAACGCCTATTCCTTTACCTCCTGGAAGGTGCAGAGCTGCTGAAGTGAGAGAGGCGGTATTCTCGCCGTTCTCTGGGTGAACGTGTAAAATGCAGGATTCGCTGTGAGTTAGACTTGGTAGTCCGGTAAGGAGGAAACTGGCCTGAGCAAAGAAATTGGAATCCTTGTCTCTGCATTTGGCAGGGGCAGGTGTAAGTAGGTTTCCTGAACGTTTTTCACTGCTGCATATCTGCAGTATCTGGCTTACGTTCTCTGCACTCCTTGCTGTGTCAGGGCTAGAAGTTTGTTGGGTTTTTGTTTTGTTTAATACATATGTTAGGGGTCATTTTCAAATTTTACCCAGATTTTACCCAGAATCCCCAGGCAAAGGGACTCTTGGAAATGGTCTTCTCACGCTTCCGGAACCACTATCCGGAGTTTTGAAACCCCTAGGTTGACTGGTTATGGTCAGAAATAGGACAACTTGCTACACGCCACTATTGGACTACAGGAAATCAAGAGCTAATCATCTGTGTTCAACCCAAATAAGCTTACTACATGTAGTAAGTGAATTACACTGAAGGCAGTGGCTTAAGTGGGTTTATTCCCATTCATTTTCAAGTGTTGAGCATCTTGAACTAGGAGAAAAATGCCTGGTCTGAGGAGGGTTCTGGATTTACACAACTGTGGTGAAACGTTTGGGTGCTTGCATGATAAGTTCTGCTAGAAGAGCCTACAACTACCTGGCGCCATTCTGTTACGAGTGTATTTATTTCTTTCAGGTACAGAAAGAAGCTTTGGAGTTGCTTAATTCCATATAACAAGAACCAAGATAATGGGGAATTCGGTGCCTCCAATTTGAGCAGCATAGGAAAAAGACCCCAAATACTACTTTGGTTTATTGAAGCTGTTAATAAAGTTACAACCTAAACCTGCTCTTTCCATCTCGTTTCAATTAAGCTGTCAACTACAAGATCTGTTTCATTATCTGATCCTGTCCGTTGATTTCCATGGGAATAAAGGGCTTCATGGACAAGCAGGGTAGGTATTGGAGGGGAAGAGCTGGGACAGTGGTTGTGCAGGTTAAGTAAGTTTTATACAGCTGAACAGTGTAAGTTATGCATGGGGAATTACAAGAAACATGACTAGCATAACTTTAAAAGAAAGGAGGTGCAGGGCTATGACGTAATTATAAATCTGCAGTTTTTTCTAGAGTGTTCTCCTGTGGGGTTCAACAGCCTTCAGGAGTAACACGTGTTCACATCGTTAGATGCTCCTACAGATTTCTCATTAAGGCTGCACAAGCAATCTTAATTCCAATACATTTAAACGCTCGTGTCTGACACTGCAAAAAGTGCTGTGGTTTTAAAAAAAAAAAAAAAAAAAGCGAAGCAGAAAATACCTAAGAAAATCCTTTTCTGGGTGATACCAGCATATGCAGTGGGAAGCTTTCTGTGAAGTATGAGTATTGATCTGCACGTTGAGAGGCTGTGAATTCTGAGCACTTGGTGGCTGCACACTGTTTGCTGGACGTAGGCGCTTCTTCCCCTGGACTACGATGCCAGGAGGGATGCACGCTCCCAGTACGCTAGAAGGGAACTACAGTTCGCAAGCACAGAGACTTCTGTGTGTAGAGATTAAGTAAAACTTTCTTCTTCTATTTTAGCAGGAACTTTTTTCACCAGAAAAAGAAATCAGGCTACGTTAGATATCCAGCACAGAAAATATTTACAGGCTTTCCACAGAGTGTATTCTGATTACCCAATCAAAAAGGAAGACCACATAATGAAAAAGTGTTAGGCAATGAAATGTGCGTGGTACTGCCCGTAGAAAGTGTAACGGTCTAGAACAAACCACCTAGCAATACCTGGTGTTTGCTTTAATAGAAAAGGATATTGCCATCTGTAGGAGGAAGATGAAGAAGGCCACTAATTGCTTAGACTAACAAACCAAGCCTGCACCAAGTCACTGGTAAAAATCCACAGCTGAGAGACCACTCAGAGCTTTAATTCTAGCCTCAGGTCACGAAACTAGTTAAAAGATGGTTTTCTCCACTACAGTGAAGTAATTCTTATTTTTCTATTAGTAGAGCATCAGTCTGAAGTCTTCGATACATCAGAGCCCCGGGTGGGTATCACGTAGTGTTTCAGAGAGATTCTTTGAATGTTCTGCATTTGTGCACTAGAAAAGCATCTGCCATGTGCAAACCCTCTCCTAGCAGCTTCGCAGCAGAGGCACCTCACTGTGCAGCACGCGGTATCTGCAGGAAGAGGAAGCCATCCAGGTACCGAGTAAGGGCTGTTGAGTGTTTAGAGAAGAGAAGCTGAGCTGCTTCCAGGAAGAAAGGAGGAAGCAGAACCCATGAACTATACAGTAGCTCCTTCTAGTAGTTACTGCCTCCCTGGTTCCCTCATCTGATCTCCAGCCACTGCTGGAGCCTTTCCTCTCTTCGCTGTCTTCCCTCCCCCCAGGGTACAGCTGAGTTATGGAGAATGCAAACGGGAAAAAAAGTAGCAATGCAGTAGCACTGAAATTCCCAGAAGTCCAAGTTAACTGTACGCGCGCACACACACACACACACACACACACACACAAGTAATTAAATCACTGTGGGGGTTTTTCCCCTCGAGAGCCACGCTTTCAGTCAGTCCTTTGAAACCAATTAATAAATCATACACACGTACAGATAGGCCACTCACTGGGTTTGGGTTTTTTTTCCTTCCTTCCTAACCCTTACCCACAGGGAAAACTACTGCAGTTACGAGACAGCTAAAATTATCAAAACAATAAAGCAACTACATTCTTGTGATGTGCTGTCTTTTTTTTTTTTTATTATTTTGTTCACTTACTCACAGGTTCACAAAATTCAGCAGTTGGTAGTGGGTCACCAGTCATTGATTAGTGCAAATTCATGAAGTTCAACTCTGTGACATTTAGCCCTCTTCATTGTCTTTCAGCCAAGCCACACACACTTCTGTTGCCCAGCTTTTGCCATGCGTTTGGTTGGGGGTTTTATTTTTTTATTATTTTTTTTTTTTTTTAAAGCTTCCTCCAGTCTAACCAGCAAAAGCCATAATTTAAGTGGATGTGCACTTGAAGTTAATTTAGTGCTGTATTTATGGAAATGGTTTTGCAGAAGATATTTGGTGTAGTATGAAAAACCCTCAAAGTGGCGGAAGTCTCTGACACTCTTAGAGAAAGTTCAGGTAAGGTCGCGGTCTGTTGGGCCCATCGCGCTACCGGTGTCACCGAAGCTATGTACAGGTTAACAGCTCCACAGTACGCCGTGCGTATTGAATACAAAGCCCCAAGAGAATCCAGTATGTAGAAAAATAAAATTTTGGCAGAATTCAGTTGCTGTATCAGGAAGATACGTGAAGAGATACAGCTATTTTTTCTGCATGTACACTTTTAACAGTGCAATATGAAGTTACAGAAGTGTTTTTAATTGTATTCAAAGAAATCATTTTCATGTGTGTACAAAATTCTCTGTAAATTAAATGTAATGGAATTTACAGTTAATATTTAAAGCATAATACAAATTGTGATTTTAAACACGGTTTTACTCTATAATAAGGAAGCACAGTTTGCTAAAAGTATCATTTAATATAATTCACATGAATAAGGTGTTAAATTTTAATTATTTTTTTTAACACACGTCTTTGCAGTTCAGCAAATGCCCTCAATACCAATAAAACTCATCTTAAAATGGCTTTATATTATTGTGCACTTAGGACAAATTTGACCTACATAAAAGAATGACAGCTTTTA